CTAATCACGTTGGCGGGTTTCTTGCCACTCACCTTCACCATGAGCCTCGAAGGGCGACTTCCCCAAGAAACGCTCGCGATGGGTTTCCCAGATCACGGCGCTGGACTTTCCCCGGCACCAACGACAGCTCCCAGCGAGGAGTCGAGGCAAATGATGCTCGAAGCCAGAAGTCTACCCCCCAATGCCTGTGGAGTTCGTCGCCTTGATAATGGAAGTAAGTCTTGACCCATGGCTCCTGCGATTCACGGAGCTGGCTGACGATATCTTCCTTGCTGTCAGCTTTCGAGACATTCTCTTGCGTCAGCAACGATTGCTACAGCTCGGGACCATGGTTCGGATGTCGCAACGTCCTCAAGACAGAATGTTTTGATGGGAACGCGCCTGTTTGCCAGCAGACAACGTCGTCTCTAGGCCAGAAAGCGCTTTGCTGGTATGTCTTTTCGTGATCTTTTTCATTGAACACGTCCCGAAACTAGATATACCGGAGCCACTGGTCTCATTCGTGCCTCCGGAGTTCGATAGGTTCAAGTGCTAACTGATATCCAAGCACTCGATCAGGTCCGAGCCAGTTACCGTATTGCCTGACACTCCTGAGGCCTGACGACTCAGGACAAAAAACATGGCTCCGATGCGGCAATCCTGCCTACAGTGGACAAAAAATCATGGTAATAGGTACCGAGTCCGACGACCCAGACGCGACCAGGACTGTAGACCCTTCGGACACTGCAACAACCACGCCACCTCCGTCCGGATCATCCTCGAACTCGACAGGTGCCATCGTCGGAGGCGTGGTCGGTGGGGTGGCCGTGGTAGCCATAGCCGTCTGCGTCATCGTCTGGTTGGTATTGCGGCGGAGGAAACGCTTGAGGGAGGACGGGTGGCATATTCCCTTGACGCCAGGCTCTCAATCGCAGCACACTCAGCCATATTACTCTCAAGCTGGGTATGAGGAGCATGATGACCCTTCCAAGGCGCAACGCGGGCCGATGCCCTCGCCCACACCTCTTGTTGAGGTGCAGGGAAGCAACGTGATCGACAACCGAAGACCGGTGGAGCTAGAAACTTGAATCCCCCAAAAATGAACTAGGTGTTCATGTGTCTACGCTTTGGGGGGCATGGGATTATTCTTATACATATAGCGGTGGCGTAAGGAGTTGATCAGTGGGTTGATTTCTTTCATCATATATTATGCTTAACAATCAAATACATTGGGAGATTGCTGGATCAAGCCGAAATACAATCCTGAGGGAGCTTCAGAGCATGCCGGTATTTTCTTATCTTAACTTGTCTTTATCTCTTATGAATTCTCATGGCGAAATCTGCCAAGAATGGATCTAGTAACATAATCCCCATTCATATGAGCCCTCATCCTTTGCGATTCCCTTCACCGGCTTGATATAAACCTAGCAGATGCACTTGAGCTCAATTATATGCAAAAGTGGCCAGGGTCCTTCGATCCTGGCTGCCCACGCTGGCGCTGGCAGTTTCTCGTATTTGGGACTACTTCGCCGACACACATGCTTCAAATATAGGCCGCTGGTATTGACGGGCGAACCATGTCTCACACAATCTTAGAGAACCTGCCTCACTTTGAAGGTTACACAATACGGAAACTTGCTTCCAGATCTTTGCACAGTCCTCCAAATAGACGACTCAGAACGAGAATAGGGGTCCAAGCTGGTTTCTCTGTTTCCTGGTGACTTCAACTTTTTAAGACCACCACATTCCCGTCAACGGAGTGTACCACTTCCACCACTGTTCTCATAACCTGGCCAGACTGCCTTGTATCTATCTCGGAGTAGTGATGAACTCTTCCTTCCTCGTAGCCATTGCTGCGGCTATCTGGCTACGCCTGGTACTCGCGGAGCCTCAACACTTGAATGGAAATTCCATACCACGTCCAACACTGGCACCGAACTACGACAAGTATAGGGCAGCCCCAACAACAACTTTGACACCTAGAAACAACCTCAATCTACGGGCAGAGGCATTGGAACCTCGAGTACTGCGCATCAATACATGTGGGATCGTAACACTTCCTTGGAGTAAGTCTTCAAACGCCCCTCTAGCTTGAGCCAAGTCAGCCAGCATAAGAAGTCGAATACTGACATAAATCAAATAGCTACATTCCCTCTAGCGTGCGAATATCCGCAACCGTGCCAAACAGACAATGGCTATATGAAGTGCGATAATATCGTTGGACGTACATGCTACGATGGCACAGCTACCGAGTGTAGATCCAAGATTGATCTCAATACCCGCTGTTGGTACGTTCACATTATGTCTTATTTCAAGAGACAATGGCTAATATCTATCTTTCTAGCACGAGTTCGGATGATCAATGGCTCCCAACCTGCGTGACATATTACAAAGAAATCGACAGGGATAACTGGGTATCGCTCCTCGATTGCCAGTGGAAAGCACACAGCGGTCGAACGAGCTTAGACTTCGTCCCGGCCTCCATCGAGGACAACTTCCTTCGCGGCACCCAAACAGCGCTGGCTTCGGCTGATTCCACAATCACTCTGATGTCTTCCACATCGGCCTCCGCCTCCGCGCCAGCTTCACCATCGCCGGCGAGTTCTTCGTCCAACATACCTACAATCGTAGGCGGTGCCGTTGGAGGCTTAGTAGCGGTGGTCATTGGAGTCTGTGTGGTTGCATGGCTTCTCATACGGGAGAAGCGAGTGTCGAGAGCCCAGGATGCCTTGTCTCCGTCGCAGGGTCCGACACAGAGCGCTCAATTCTCAACTCTGCCGGAGGTATCTGTCCCTGAGAACCACCTGCCTCTCTATCCGGGGGCTGAGGAGCGACATAAGTATCAGTCAGTGTCTGCAGCCCCACCATCCGTTCTCAGTGAGGCGCTTCTGGCGTCTTGTCCGTCGCCGAGACGCACTATCAACGTTAATGATACCCCTGTTGAGCTTGAGTGATAGATGTAGAGGCACACAGAAGTTCTGTCCACGGTATTCCAGGCTCGTGGTAGTATAACGTACCTGACTTAATGATATAATTAGGCACGTGGAGGATAGCAAGGGGTGATTTTCATTCAATAATGTACTCTTAGTTACTTTCTTACAAGTAATCATCTACACGCGCCATCGCTTGAAATGCTTCAGCATGAGTCCACGCCGATGCTCAACATCACACGCCATCGACGGTCGTAGCAGTCCCCTTGACCGCCATCCCTCCATCATCACCCTCAATCCAAACATCCCACTTCCTCTCCCCTTCACTCGCCTCCTTCTCTCGCAGGCAAAGCGTCATCTCCCGACCGCAGTACAGCGGCGCCAGGTTCCGGTACCCGTACCAGCGCACGCTCTGCCCTTTGCCCTGCCTGTTCAAGAACGCGAGCACCAAAGCCAGCGACAGAGGCCCGTGGACCAGCGTCGCGGGATGGCCCTCTTGCGCAGCCCACGCCGGGTCCAGATGGATCGCGTGCGCGTTGTACGTCAGCGCGCTGAAATTGGTGAGGAGGTTCTGCGTCGGCGTCAGAGTGAGAGACGCTGTCGGCTTATGCGGCGCTAACCCAGTCTCAAACGTCAGTACTTTTCTCGTTCTCCAAACTCTCTTCCACGGCTTGGAATGAAGACTGAATTTGCTGCTGGCCGCCGCTCACCTTTCAAACTCCGCCGCGCTGGAGCAGAAACATCAACATCAGGAAGGAAAGCCAACGTCCTCCTCTCCTCAACCGCCGGTCCGCTCTCACCATGACCAGCAGCAGAAGATGCCCCATACCGCCGCCACAACTCGACCCACACCCGGCCCTTCTCGGCCCTCACATCCTCCACGCTCTCGACACAGCCGACCCGGCGCCCATCCAGACAAAGCACATTCTCCCAGCCCTCTCGGAACCGGACCTCGCCGCCCGCCCAGAGCCGGCGCGTAAAGGGCGCCCCGGGGCAATGGTCTGGGTCAGTGCCGTCCGGCATCAGCCATGAGGGCGGCGATTGGAGGGGGAAATAGGCCAGGTGGTGGCCTTGCGGCAACGGACTCGCAGGACCGGAGGATGGTGGGTACTTTGGTGGATAGTCGGCGGACGAGGTGAAGATGTCAGCGAACAGGAGGTTAAGGAGATGGGAGGGCGTCGGGGAGAGGTGGTCTGGGATCTCCTTGCTGGTGTGCAGGATTTTGGCGATTCCTGCCTCTACCGATGAGGATGCATTCTGAGTTGCAAATCCCCGACGAAGGGTGTTGAGGAGCAGAGGCCTCATGTTGAAGTTGGCATTGGCGACTTACACGCCTCAGTGAGTGGGATGTTATGAGACTGAGTTGGAGGTCATGAATATGCATATAACCAGTTGATAGGTCATAGTCGCATATCGGATAAAGATGCCTGTGTGAAAGTGCGGCCCCAAGTTGACTGTGCCTTAAGGGGGAGAGGAACTGGGAATGTACACTAGGAAAGTCATTGTTTAATGAGGACAAGGGCTGCTCTCATGGGTTACCCATCTAGGTGTAAGAGCTGAGGTGGCAAGTCACACAAACACGGTAGTCCTTGTGGCACAGAAACATCATTCACGCTTAATGAACAGGCTCGAGCGAGCCTGAAAGGACTGAGTAGGCATTTAATTTCATTTTCATTCTATCTAGTCGCGATCAACAAGCGGTCGCCTCCCGACCGCTCTTGAGTGTCCTCTGTCTGTGAGAGGATCATCTGGTGCCCATGTTAGTTGCACAGCTCCAGCAGTGGCTGAAAGGATGGTCTCACATGTAGACTAGGTCTCAACTCAAGAGGCCTTCATAACAGACCGAAGCGGGCTCGGGCGCGCCACTTGGTGGGTGAGGTGAGCCGGGCTCATCGGGCTCCTGTCTGCAAGGAGCTGATGGGCGACGTTCGGCTTGGGCGCGGGCGCGGGCTGCGACGCTGTGCGCGCGGATTCCTCTTCGCTGTCATGCTTCAGAGACGGTACTTGAGTCGATCCCTCGTTCTCGAGGGCCTCGGTTGGTCAATCTAGGATGGTCAGTTTCTTGTAGTTGGCAGATAGGGTACTGGAAGGTCACAAACCGTCGTAGTAGTCATCGTCGTCATCAACCTCAGCCAACTGCTCGAAGTTCACCTTGTAGCGGAGAATGCCACCGATACCACCAAAGCCCTTGACGAACTGGTTGCCCTCGGTGGAACGGTCAGAGACGAACTCGAGGTTGGTACCAAAGTCCTTGTAGTGCTCTGCAATCCACTCAAGGAAGGATTCTTGGGTAACGACTTCCATCTCCTGGCCAGTCTCCTTGTCCATGAAAATGGCACGGTCACCGGTTTCCTGCTGCTTTGTAGTGTGCAGCAGGTGCTCGGTGCCCTGGCTGTCCTTGAGCTTCCAGCGGGTGATCTCCAAGTTCTCGAAGACGATCAGAACCTCCACAGCGCCCAACTCCAGAGCCTTGAGGGTATCCTCAATACCGTAGCAGACACGACCGGTGTCCTGGCTGATCTCCTCGAAGTACTTTCCGATGAGCTTCTTCTCCTGGATGAACTTGACGTTGCCGAGGGTCTCGGAAGAAAGCTCGATAGCCTGGTTGAAACCGTTCTCACCACCATAGGAAACGTCAACAACCTTGATGACCTTGGTGGCCAGACGGTTATCGAACAAGTCGGAGGCGTTGAGATCAGTCTTGAAATCGGCAGAACCAGCCAAAATCAGACCAGCGACGTTGGGCTTGTCATTGGTAATGAAGTTCTGGACGGCCAACTCGGCAACCTTGCGGACATAGTTGTGACGCTTCTCCTCACGAAGACGGGCGAAACGAAGAGCGGATTGACCACCACGACCGTGCTTCTTGGGAAGATCGACAGAGAACTTGTGAACAACTTCTCTGGTGTTTCCGGAAAGGGTTCCGAAAAGGGCTCCGTTACCGTCCATAATAATGAAACCAAACTTCTGATCCGACTCGAGAAGCTCGGCCAAAGCCTCTGTGTGGAACTTGTTGTCACAGAGGTAAAGGGAGGTGTTGATGGGCTTGAAAGGCTCAAAGTCGATGTTGACCTTTCTCTCCTTGCCTTCCTGGGTCAAGATTTCACCACAGTAGACAACCAAGCCGTTAGGAGGGACCTTATTGTACAGCTTAAGACGCTGCTGGGTCGAGGTAATGGCTGAAAGCACGGACTGTCTGTTGACTCTGGACTTGATGTTTGACGCAGTTCCCTGTATAAAGTCTCATTAATACCGGTCCGGCTTGAATGGTGTGCGATTGTCGCAGTCGTAACGTACGTATTCTTCAGCCAACATCTTGGCGGCTCGGGAAATCTGATCCTTGGGAGCTGTGGTGGGGTGTTAGTCGAACCCGGCATCGGCGACGGCATGGCGGTCGGGAAATAAAAACGTACGAATGATGAGCGAGATCATGGAAGTGCCGTTACCACGAGCGGCCTCGAGGCGCTTGATCAGCTTCTTGACCTTCCATATCTCGATCTGTGTTGCACCCCATAAAGGGAATCGTCAGCCTGCATGCTCGGAGCGCGGGGCAAAAAAGGAGGGGCTCCGAGGCCACGATGTAGGAATACGGGAAAAAACTCACGTTCTTCTCGGCCTCGTTCGCCTGGGGGTCCGACATCTTGAATGAGGGTAATTAAGGGACTCGAGGAACGACAAAATGAGGGAACGCGTTCGCGTGACGGTGAGGGATTTGTCGTCGACGTCGCGCGGTTCTCCGGGCGGGAACGATGCGTTGCGATGCGGTCGGGTAGTTGCAAGGAAAGAAAAGTTGGTGCTCCACGTAGGTAGGTCGATTTTTTGTGCTGTCACCGTGGAGCGCACCAGGATCCGGCTCTGGCTGGGTGTACGCCCAAAACCGGGTAGGGCGCTAAACCGCAAGCGAGTCATAGGGTGCCTACAGCCTGGCCACTCTAAATTCTAGCCACTCATCTCCCGACTTTCACACGTACCACCATGTTTTCCTGGAGCCGTCCGCCCCATGGTTCATCTTCAACGCCGTATGTCTTTGGAATTTAGGCACTTCAAACACTCATTACACTGGACTCTGACTATCGCAATGACTACCTATCGAGTGAGTCACTGAGATAGACACCCTCAGATGTCTATGTTATATTATTCGGCGATGTCTTGCAGGATAAGGTAGGCAGGCTGCAGCCCGTTTAAAAAGGCACAATGTAAGGCAGGTTGTGAGACAAAGCCAATGTGCTGTATTAGTTGCCCATTCAACCCCACTCGATCTTGTGCCGCTAAAAGTTGGGCCACTGAATTTCTGTGTGCCGTCCGGATATCGCTTTCTTTGGGCGGAACGGCTGAAGACCTCAGCGGTGGATCCGCCATGCAAGTAAAGGTGCATAGGATCATCCCGTGTGCTGGATTAATGAATGACCAATGACCATGCAACTAACGAGCTAACTTTATCGCAACCTCCCAACGCGCCCATACCCGTCCCCGCGAGAGCTTCCCGAAATCGCAGCTCAAGCCACTACCTGCTGTAGCTCCTGTTCGTCATACACACACAGCGCCAGACTCGCAACATGGCTTCCTCCGTACCCATCCAGATCGCAGAGACGATACAGACAGCCCACATCAACCGGGCACCCTCCCCGAGCCACGACCTCAATCCCTCCACAGCAGCCTCCGAGAAGGAGCCAGTGACATTAGAACCCGTCCCGACCCAGGACGATCTCGACGATGATGAGCTCGACGACTACATTCCACGCAGTGTGGTGAACCCGAAGCCGCGTACAGCAAAGCTTCCACCCATGCCCGACCTGCGTTTCGAGCAGAGTTACCTCAACAGCATTTCCAAGGCCGATACCTGGGGGCGGGTGGCGTGGATCACCGCAAGGGATCAGGTAGGTTGCTCGGGTGCAGCAGGCGGCGGGGGGATTCAGTACTGATCTGATGTAGGTGATGATGCCCCTGATACAAGGCGTCGTTTACAACTTGTTCCTCATCGGCTGGCACCACTGGAACAAGAATGCTCAGGTCCACGGCAGTTCGATAGGTGCGAGGGTCAGGAGGTGGTGGTATGGCGTGAATAACTGGCAGCTGCCCCCGCAAAAGAGCTCAAACTGGAGGACGGCATTTACAAAGAAGGAGCTGTGAGGGACTGGAACACACAGCATGAAAGGGTCAGGAAACATGATTGGTGTGGTATCTGTACATCTAAAATCGAAGCAGAGTGTCTCTGCAAGCCAGGTACTTTTCAGTACCGCTGCATCTCGTGATGCGCATATCCCCTGAGAGTACTAGCCGTAGTACCGTCTATGAATGAGCGAATGCTCCTACAAATAATTGTTCAACCATCCTGATGGTTCCCATCATCTATCCCTATCCGTACTCCGCCTGCCAAGTTTTACCGCCAAACGCCAAAGGACTTGTGGTAGCCAGTTCCCAATGAGCCCTACTCGCGCACACCAACATCCACTTGTTGCAGCATGGTCTGCAGCTTGTCCGGGCTTCCTCTAAAGGCCAAGGAGGTCTGCACAGCGGCCGGGCTCAAGGGCGGTTTTGTAGTCGCAACGTTGATGACAGGTTCTGGGGTCTTGTCTCTGGGTTTGGCGACAATCTCATCAACCATTTCGTCGACTCTCGTGGGGGCTTTCTCATCCTCTGGGGCGGGAGTCATCATGGCCGTTTTCGTCGTGGTTGGGGACTTCTTGACCGAGAGCTTTACGATCAAGCTCTTTCGAGGTTCATCGGCCAAGTCTTCATCTGCCATGTCCACGTCTTCGTCTAATTCGTCATCGTCTTCCTCACTCTCATCCGGGACATGGTCCTCTTCTTCGTCGTCACCCAAATCAGGTTCGCTTCCGTCATCATCGTCTTCATCCATAGAGTCACGTCCATGAGTCCGCGTGCCCTTGGATGACCATCCGTTGGTTCCATGATTAACCGCTGCAGCTCTGCGTGGCCGTCCTCCAGGACCGGACGTCGGTTCTGAGGGCTGACGGGAATCCTCTGAGTCTCCGTTGACACTACCTGCTGCACTGCTTCCGTTCATTCGTGGCGGGGCTCTGATCTGACGTCCGCTGGCGGTGGTTACTGGGCCGGTTGGTTCCGCAGGGGTGCTCGTTCCAGTGTTGCGCGCCGAGCGTCGATTGGACGAGTCTGTAAGGAAGTCTTCGTCATCGGAGTAGGTGTACTTGATTCGCTTGCCTCTCGTACGACCCTCGTAGGAAGAGAAGCCAGGCTCAGGACGTTTGAAGCGGGCTTTCTGAGCCTGTCGATACTCTCTGCGACGTCGTTTCTGCTTCCATTAATCATTGCCCAGAACAATCCCTTGTCACACTGGACTGGAGTTCGATGATGGATGCTTACCTCCTCGGTACCCTCAAAGCGAGGAATAGCCGCCAGCATCTTATCTGCAAGCTTCCTAGCCTTGGGGCCGCCGTCCTTGGTCTCCAATTTCTCGCAAAGGGCCCTGAGCTCATCGATTGATCCCGCTACTGACCACCAAGTGCGGTTGAAACCGGCAGGGTTACTCTCCCGATAGACGCGGAAAGCAGTATCGTCCAAGCCCTCGATCAAAAAGTACCGTCTCTTGTCACTGTCTGAACCCCAGGGTTGGACCGAGAGCGGCTGGTTCAAATCGTCATCGTGACGGTTTCCTTTGTAGGATTTGTTGATGATGGTCTTGACAGTTTCGGATGCTGAAAGAGACCACAAGGCGAATGCGCGAAGGAGAGACAGCTGTGCCAATTGGTTAGTGAACTGGTGCACAGACAAGTAACGCGCACTTCGGTGCTTACTCTCTGGGTGGGTGTGATGCTGTGAAAGGTGTTGCTACCCGACAGTGGGTTGACACCTTCCCACGATCGCGGCCATTGGGACTTGTGGGCGGCAAGAGCGTCGTCCAGAGCTTTGGAGTATTGGCCGGCCCTATCACGCCAATTAGCAAACCAAAAAGACCATATTGTTTGCTGTCGCGTCCACGTACTTGACGTCCTGCTTTCGGTTCAAGAGCAGGAACAGTAGAGCGCACAGGAAAGCTTCGACTCTTTCGCCAGGCGGGCTGCCAATAATGTCTTGTTCAAGCTCTTGCGGGCCAAAGTTGGCCAAGGATTTCGGGAACGCATCGTTGAATCGGCTGCGAAACATAACCAGAAACTGGAGGTGGGTGTTAGCTTGTCCTATGACGTGGGGCGCGCGGTTCTACGCGTTTTTTTGCGCGAAACGACGCGACAGGGTGCATACAGCAATGTCTGGATTGTCAATGAAGGCATTCTCGTGTGGCGGCGATGGCGATCGCTTGCGAGGCGGCGGCGAGGGCTCTTTGGTCGCGACGGTGGCTTTTTTGCCTTTGGCAAGCTTAGGGAAGAACTTTCGAATGTCACCCTTGGTCGCAGGTTCAGGCTCAGCTTCGGATTCGACGTCGGAAGGAACTGGCGACAACGAAGACAGCGAAGACAAATCCGAAGAATCGTCGTCAGCCATCTTGGCGATTTTTCCTCCTCGCGTTAATGGCTGTAGTGTGTGCGGGTGGTGTTGTTGTTGTTGAAGTTGGATGGGGGTGGGTATCGTAGTAGGTGGAGGTGGTGGTATGCGCGCTGGTGTAGTTGCGAGAGGAAGTTTCGACCGCCCACTCGCGGGACTACTTAAGTCACGTTTGAGCCGCATCTCCTTTCGGTCTGGTTCTCTGATAGGCCCGAGTCATTAAATCTAAAATACCTACGGCTTTCATTCCTCTTCGCATATTCCCCTTCTCATATATCAAAGACGCGTAGCATGGCCTTGCACCCGGTGAGCCGCCTCCTCCTCCTTCAAGAAGCCCTTTGCCTGCCCATGCTCCCTGCCGCTTGCTGCTTGAATATGTGCCTGGCGTTGCAACATCTTGTGGATTGTGCTTCATGAGTCCTCTTGTCCTCGAAGACGTTGGAGAATCCACGTCGCTCATACCCCACCCGAGGAGCTACCGTGGGATATCCTGGCCTACCTTGCCTTACTAAACCTTCTCTCAACACCAAACTGCAACCCGGCGTCTCCTGCTGAGCACCATAGTAGAAGCCTTAAAATATTACATCGTTCTCCTAAGGCGTCCTCATAATCGAATCATCGCGGATTTATGATGCTCATTTGGTGACAGGTGGGTCCCATGGTGCAGACTAGGACAGAAGTGACCGCGCAAACTAAGACATCCTCCGGCCGGGAAGCTTCTCGCGAATGTCCAACCTCAAAGCTGACGCATTCTGTTGATGATGCTATTCCCAACCACTGAGTTGGTAGCATTGGGGCTTTGTCGCTGAGACCCATTTTCCTTTCATTCCACCTACCCGCATCAGCTTGTTGGTCACTGCGGCAGCCAACCTTACAGCTTGCCGAGAGCCTATCATAATCAGGCGGCACCTGATGCGTTTTTGAAGCCATTGAGCAATGTGGCGATATAGAGGTCTGTCTTTTGGTCGTAGTCCTGTGGATTGCCTAGCACTTGCATTGCATTCCACCTCGTTCTCATCCACCGCAACATCCCCTCCCGCTCGTCACATGACAACGCAGCTCGGCCAAATCAGCCGGGACTAAATCATTCCATGCTGATCGCCCGCCTTCGCAACTTTGCGTCTGCAGGCATGCTTGACGCTCGGAGTGAGGCTATCCACAGCCTTGATTCCATATTTGAAATATTCTTGCCCCTTGTGACTGAATGAACAGGGCTATGTGCGGTGGTTATAAGCAGCCTGCAATCCAACAACAGGGTGTTCCTTTTCGACAATGGCTCGAGATAAGGCAATGCCTATTCGTCGATTTCGGCGAGCCTGCGGCCTGTAGTCATCAACATCAACACCTCACTTGAGGCGACGGGCCACTTTGCAGTGATGCGTGCTCCCGCATATTGGACCATACTCGGCCAAAACTTTACGCGAAGAACCCTCAAGAGTAAATGCTTCGAACGCAACGATGCACTTCGCGAGGAACGACCTTCGCCGACTCCGGCAAAGGTTCCGATGACGTTGATCGCTGGACCACACCAAGGCACCAAAGACTCCGGGGTCCTTGTAACCTCACCGGATTCCTCCCAGAGATCCAAAACATGACCTGCCCACAAAACGCACCAACACCGGTCGAACACCGCAGACCTGACAGAGCATCAGAAAATGCAGCCACGAGAGAAAAGCAGGAGACAGCGAAGGGAATGAGGAAACCTCATCGAGCAGAAGTAAGTGCTCACATAATCCAATTGTTTCAAATCTTTCGTGCATCGTCAGGATGACTCATAATGAGTGAGAGACACTGCACGGCATGACGGCGTTGAGGATATCGTGAACTTGGCTTCAGTAGGCCATAATGAGACGTTCCGAAGGTGAGGGTAAAGTGCGGAGATCGTAACGCGGTGCAAACGTCCCAGGGTCGAGGATGAGTGGCCAAGCAGCAGTTAGCTTATGGGTCCGATTCTGTGGAGACCACTTCATCTTCCCGTCCGTGCTCTGTCAAAATTTTGGACAATCTCCCACGTATTTTCTTTCACGTGACGTAACACGTGCTCAAGCGAGGAGGGCTGGAGAGGAAGTCCCACGCACCACTGCAGTTTCCGAAATTTGAGCCATCCTGCTTGTTGACGGAATTTGACGATTCAACCTCACCACGACGACAACACCTAGCCCTCCGAACGCCAGAGGACTGCCAAGATGGGTCGCGTTGTAAGTCATTATTCTATCCAACACTCGATTCTTTATTTGCGGAACGATATTGGCGCATTATCGACTTGCTGCTCGTCGCATTCGACATTCCAACAATTCGAAACCCGCGAACTTTTTTTCGAGATGGACAAGGGACAGGACAAAAGGCGCTGACATACTCTTCTTCAGATCCGTAACCAGAGAAGAGGTCGTGGCTCTATCTTCACGGCCAACACCCGCCTGAACAAGGTGAGATTCGACATCCTCGAAATTCGCGATACGACGACAGTTTTTCCTAACGATTTTCTGTGCAGGCCCCCGCGAAGTTCCGCAACCTCGACTATGCCGAGAGACACGGATACCTTCGTGGTATCGTGAAGGACATCATCCACGACCCCGGCCGTGGCGCTCCTCTCGCCCAGGTCGTCTTCCGCGACCCCTACAAGTTCAAGCAGCACACCGAGACCTTCATCGCCAACGAGGGCATGTACACCGGCCAGTTCATCTACGCCGGCAAGAAGGCCGCTCTTACCGTCGGCAACGTCCTTCCCCTCGGCTCCATGCCTGAGGGTACCGTCGTCTCCAACGTCGAGACCAAGATCGGTGACCGTGGCACTCTCGGCCGCACTTCCGGCAACTACATCACCATTGTCGGCCACAACCCCGATGAGGGCAAGACCCGCATCAAGCTTCCCTCCGGCGCCAAGAAGGTCGTCCACTCCGAGGCCCGTGGCATGATCGGCATTGTTGCCGGTGGTGGCCGTACCGACAAGCCCCTCCTGAGTACGTTTTGGCCCCTGGTTCTGGAAGGATGAGATAGAGGGTAAGATGAGGCAAGGGACAACAGTTGACTAACGAATTTCTACAGAGGCTTCCCGCGCCAAGCACAAATTCGCTGTCAAGCGTGGTGCCAACTGGCCCAGAACTCGTGGTGTTGCCATGAACCCCGTCGACCATCCCCACGGTGGTGGTAACCACCAGCATATCGGTAAGGCCTCGACCATCTCCCGCTACGCCGTCCAGGGACAAAAGGCCGGTCTTATTGCTGCGAGACGGACGGGTCTGCTCCGTGGTACCCAGAAGGTCAAGGAATAAAGGTCATAGTTTGGCTGGATTTCAGGGTTCCATTGGGATGGTGTTACGCGGCTGGCATCTTTTGAGGGTACTCGCAAGGGCAGTTCATCTGGTAGCTCTTCGGCAAGTACTAAAAGGCATTTTGCGCATTGAATGATCACGCCATGATTCCCCCCGCTACAAGAGGGAGAGGAGAACGCCAAACCCAACTGTGATGAGTGAGACGCCGGGAGTTTGTGTGGATGACGAACAAAAAACGGGGTTTGGGACAGCAAATGGAGTGAGGAGGAAAGTGGCCTTTGGATCTTTCCTCCTAAGCCCAGCTACCATATGTAGTTGCGGTTTCCTCTTTCAATTGATCGATTCGGAATTTATATTGAGGAGCTGCTCCTGTCTCGTGACATTTCTTCATTCGGCGAGTGGCCTGATGATATGATGGCCCCAAAAACAAAAACGGCGCTTTCCCGCTCTGACTCGGTTCTACGAAACCTGACTCTTCATAATTCCTCGACAGAACCGCCAAAATCACGGGAAACCTACACTCGGTGATTTGATATCGATCCCCGATTCCCCTTGCTTCACGCTTCTTATAAGTGTACTCCACATCAGTCACTCGCGCGCAATAATGTTCGCTTGCCAGAGAGTCACCGCCTCGAGGTGTCTCACCCAACGCTGCACGTCCACCAATTCTCTCAATGCAACAGTAAAGAGAACCTTTGCTACTCGCCCTCGCCCCACCATCCCTGCTGCCCCTGTCCTCTCATCACCATCCGCAGCGACAGCACCCTCAGCTTCAGCTCCTGCCCACACCCCTCCAAGTCGACAGGCTCCCGGTCAGAGTTCTCGCCCTGCTGTGCAAGCACGTTTCTTCTCTGACCACCCCACCTCCTCCGACAGGTCCAGCAACCCCACCATCGGCATCCCCTCATCCAAAACTGGCCGACGGAACACCAAAATCAAAATCTTTGAAAGCTCCCACAACCTCCATCACTTCCACACCTCATCCATACATCCCAGAACACCTCAATTGAACAAAATGGCATCCCAGGATTTCCGTCTTCTCTGCATTGAGAACCCTCTGCTTGGTATGTGTTTTTTTCTCATCATTTAAATAGCTTAGAGCACAGGGGAACACATGTTGCGCAACCCCGCCATCTTCGCTTTAACCCCTCCCTTAACACCGAGCTGGGACAAAAATATTGACAACTAACACCGCAACCCAGACATCCAAGCAGTTGGTGACAAGGCTCTCCTCGAAAAGTACGGCCTCAAGGAGAACGATGCCATCCTCGCTGAGGAGAAGCACCTCGGCATCTACGAGGACCTCCTCAACAACTACGACGCCAAGCTGATTGCCGGCGGCGCCGCCCAGAACACCGCTCGCGGTGCCCAGTACATCCTCCCCCCCAACTCCGTCGTCTACCTCGGTGGTGTCGGTGACGACAAGTACGCCTCCATCCTCCAGGATGCCGTCAAGACCGCCGGTCTCCGCGTTGAGTACCGTGTCGACCCCAAGATTGCCACCGGCCGCTGCGGTGTTGTCATCACCGGCCACAACCGCTCCATGTGCACCGAGCTCGGCGCCGCCAACCACTACGACCTTGAGCACTTGACCCGTCCCGACGTCTGGAAGCTCGTCGAGAACGCCCAGGCCTACTACATTGGAGGCTACCACTTCACCGTCTGCCCCGCCGCCATCCAGAAGCTCGCCGAGGAGGCCGCCAAGAACAACAAGGTCTTCGCCGTCAGCTTGTCCGCCCCCTTCATCTGCCAGTTCTTCAAGGACCCCCTCGATGCCAGCGCCCCGTACTGGGACTACGTTATCGGCAACGAGACCGAGGCAGCCGCCTACGCCGAAGCCCACAGCCTCGGCACCACCGACCTCAAGGAGATCGCCAAGGCCCTCGCCAACCTCCCCAAGGAGAACAAGCAGCGCAAGCGTGTCGCCATCATCACCCAGGGCACCGAGCCCACTCTCGTTGCCGTCCAGGGTGAGGACAGCGTCAAGGAGTACCCCGTCAAGCCCATCTCCAAGGAGCAGATCAACGACACCAACGGAGCTGGTGATGCCTTTGCTGGCGGTCTGATGGCCGGCATTGTCGATGGCAAGTCCCTCGACCAGTCCATCGACATGGGCCAGTGGCTGGCTAAGCTCAGCATCCAGGAGCTTGGACCTTCGTAAGTTGATCCCCCCCATCATGTCACATATGACACCTCATGGCAAACTTGTCAAATTTTCTTGCTTCATTCGCTAACTGTGAACTAGCTACCCCTTCCCCAAGCAGGCTTATTCCGCGTAAGGCATTTAGCCTTCCCAACCTAATGCATTAAGCATTTCAGTTTCTTTTTGTTCAGAATAGTCTGGCGTTGAGGGGGTCAAAGGGAAAACGGTTTCAACAACGGCGTTGGCTCCTGAGAGAGCTTTCAAATGAGTGGCAATCGCACTTTGCATCAACTTGCAATCTGGGCTCGACACCTTTTACGACCTTGAGCCCATGGGTCATGAGATATTTGGTAGAAAACAATGCGAGGAGACGATTTCGGCTGGACAAAAAAAGACCAGCCCAGATGACAAATCCTAGACCAGAGTCCACTTCCCCGTCGTATCCGTCGTATCGTGTCCAGTGAAATCCGTCCAAAACAGTAGTATGAGCCAGTATAATTCAATCGTGCGATCGATTCATGTCGCTGAAACTTTGTGTCAGCGGTGTAAGATCTTGGAAGGTGCTGATGGACTTACATCGCAGTAGCAAATAAAGATGTGTTCAACTTCCAATCAAGCCGCCGGGTGGGCCGGGCAGGCATTGGGATAATAATGTCTGATCCGAAAACGAGTCCTGGATATGCGGTCCCCAAAACTTAACGACGCATGTTCTGGCCCGGGGCACGCTTCACTTCATCAGCCATGGCCGACTGAAGAATCATGTCGTTGTATCCAGCCGTGTATCCGTCAGTAGCGGCACCTCCGTTCTGTCTGACCATGTTCTTGTAGTGCGTAGGGTCATCATGCATATCGGCAATGGGACCTCGTCCAAAAGCGGTGGTCGCGGTGTACGCGATACCGTTGCACGGCGTGCTCTGGTATATACTGCTGACGTTGGAGAACTGAGTACCCGAAGCCGGCGAGAAGTTCTCTCCGCTCATAGGCATGTTGGGACTCTGAGGAAACTGAGGACGAGATCCGCTGAACGAACGGGCGTGGGCGGCCGCCCTGGGCTGCAAAGTATGGGGGTTGTTGGCTTCCGCATACGGACTGGACCACAAGTTATATGCTGCCGCACCTGACAAGTCACGACTCAAGGGTCTCGAGTCTGTAGGTTGTCTGCCAAAGGCCTGCAGAAGGCGGTCCTGGTGAGCACTTATGTCGGGTGTACTGGCATACGGACGCTGTTGCTGCCGAGCCATGTACGGGTTCTCTCGTGCTTCTCCGAATGGATCGTCCAGCCGTGGGGTACCCGAGGGTTGAGCAGTCCTCTGGAAGCCAGCACTGCCATCGAATGATCTTCTAGCAGCATCCCTGATGGCACGGTCTGGTGGTGTCAGCTCTTGCTTCTTACCCTGTGGTGTCGGGGTGTAAATCATGTTCCAGGGAAGGCTCGGGAATGTCTTTGCTGTTGCGGATCCGAGGGCGGGCGGGCTGTTGGTCGGGGGCACACCAAATACCTCGTTGGCCATGGCTGAGTTCATTCCGTACGAGGTGTCCTCGTGGCTCTCTGCAGGAGAGACGTGGGCCTGAGGAGGCATCAGGAAGTCATTAACCATGTGAAGCATATCAGCGTCAGAACTGAAGTCGTAGTCTGACTGGCCCTGCGCTTTGCTGCGGCTGGGAGTGGGGTGCGACCGCACCTGCGGCGGAGCAGCCACTTGGGGCGGTACAGGCAATGCAGCAGTCGGGGTCGCGTTTCTGACAGGAGCCGGCTGCCGTGAATCCTTTCGTTGCGCCGGAGGAAAGTCTGCAGCAGAGCTTTGCTCAACTGGAGGCTGGGAGGAGGTTGTCGCGACAGCTGAAGACTTTGGCGTGTAGCCGTCCTCGTACTTGAAAGTAAGCCCCCTTGGCGACGAAGTGTAGGAGAAAGGAAAGTTGGTGTCGTCGTTGGCGAGGAAGAAACCACACTTTATCGTTTGCAGGACCCTGGAGAAGATCTCTTGGAGAGGGCCGAAACGCTGCCCACCATAGTGCTGGATTTGAGACTTCAGATTTCCAGTATCCTCATCGTAGTTGAGACGGCAACTGTCCGGCAACTTCGTGTCGCAGAGAGGAAGCATTCCTATAGCTTCCTGGTCCTCAGGAAGCAGGTACGGAGTGAGTTTGAGATCTTCGTTGCCATACATCTCGCACAGAGAGGTGAGTGCCTTGGCGAATCCTCTGTACATGTCCTTGATGGACAGCTCAGGGGCCTCTTGAGCGTTCACAATCTCAACACGGCACGCCACGAGCCAGGCTGCATACAGGCGCACGAACGGGAGAGTGTTCTCGGTCATTGTAGACGCTTGGTCTTCAGTGCTCTCTGGTTCGCCGTTTGCTTGTTGCTCAATGAGTCTTTCCATTTCCCTCTTAAGGAACTTGCAAAACGTCATGAAGAAACGAGCGTTCAAGCGGAGAAGGAACTGAGAGGTTCGGAACGCGGCAGTGGCCCAGTCACCTGCTGTGAATTAGAAAATGAGTCTCATGTTCATCATGATGATCACATACCTTTGGCCTTATTGTTGTAGACGAAGAATGCAGACATGTTGAGCAAGACCATCTTCAAAAGGATTGCCTGGGTGTTTGGGGCCTTGATGGCCATCTCAAGATGGTTGATGACTTCCTTCTCAAGCCCCTCGTGCTGAGGGAACGGCTCTCCTTTGCTGAAATGAGAATGCAGCTTTACGAACCAGGTGACAAAGGCCTCTTGAGGATCAGGAGGACCTGTGCGACGAGCCGGCGTAGTTGGCGCTGAAAGACTCTTCAGTTCCGATTCAAGGTTCTGTGCCGCCATTGGATGAGGGTCTTGAATTGCCATGGCGCGGTAGAAGTGATATATGATATCAAGGTGCTTTCTCTCATCCAAGTAGATGATACCCATCTGGTGGTGGGCGAAGCCAGAATTGGGAAGGATGTCGTGGGCGAGAGAATAGTACGTCAAGGCAGCTTCGTAGCTCGGGACCTTGTGTCGCGCCTGCATCCGGTATCGAGAAAGGTCGCCGAGGTGAATGAGCACCAGATGCACGTATTTGAGGATGATCTGGCGAACGGCAGGTGTGGTGTTGGCCATGGGGTTCGCCTCTGCCAGCTTTTCGGCTTTGATGCCCTCGGCAATGCGCTGGAGCTCGGGAATCGGGTAGACGGCTGACATGCGCTGGACAAACGCGACGTAGAACTTTTGCGCCGTCTTGAGAAAGCTGCTGTACATCCTATCCAACTTGCGCTTCTGGACGGCGAGCTGCGACGATCTCAGCTTGCCCAAAACCTTTCGATATTCGGCATTGACAAGGCTGTGGGCCTGCCAGAGGTTGGCTTCAACCTTTTCGGTCGAGGAATATTCGAAGTCATGGAATATGACGTGGAGGCAGGCTAATCGGAGGCTGATGACAGTCAGCAAGGATATTGCGACCCAGTACATTGGGCTGGATTCGCTACGTACGAGGAAATGACGCTTTCCAGAACCTCGAAATGCTTCAGCTCGTTGCCGTCGGTGTCGCTTTTGAGCTTGTCTACCTCCCTCTGGAGGTGCTTCCGAAGCTTCTGGGCTTGGCTGTGGTCAAAAAGTCAGCATCGGAAGGTAGGTGCCCGGAGTCGCATGGACCCCGAAATGCCCACCCAACTGGATAAGATATGCCACAGGCAATGCTTGGCGCAATCCAAATTTCGAGATGGGCATGAGGGGGAAATGGTAACTTACTGCCATGCCTGCTTTGCAGCCTCAACATGTTCCGCCATTTTGGAGAATGGCGGAGCTGGGCCCTAACGTTGGCGATTGGAGGAATTTGGTGTTGGTGGTGTTGCGATTATTTTCGCGATGGGGTGTTTTGTTGTTGTGGAAGGTGCGGGACTCCAAAAACTCAGGAATGGGACAAAAAAAAGAGCCCAAGCTACGTGCTGTGCTCACACGCTCTCAAGACCAGTCCCTGAAGGTGCGCGCGATCCATAACTTGGGAGGTGAGGTCGTCGGAATCCAAAGGGTGAGGGCGACAATGGTGGTGGGATCGGGACAGCGGCAGCGGCGTCGTCGGGTCCAAGGCTTGTGGTGGCACGTAATCGGGGTGATGAGAGAGTCGGGAAGAACAACATTGGGCAGAGGGTCGGAGGGAAAGAGCGACGAGCGATGCGCCACCCAAAGCAGACATTCAAGAAAGGCAACACTCAGACGGTATGGAAGGACGAGGGTGGCAGACAGAGGCAGACAGAGAAGAAGGAGGAAGAGGATGGTGATGTCGGGTCTCCATGAGGGACGCGAGCAGAACTTAGCTCATGGGACAATAAAGTGTGCACCTCTCATTCTTTACCATCTATCCACATCATCCATCCATCCACCTTCCATGACTGAGCCTTGGGGAATCAGTTAATATTTTAGATGGAGCCCCTCAACAGGCGGGCACATATGGACCGTGCACTGCACTTTTTTGAGATTGGTCCCTGTTCGGTTCCGCAGTCCCTCACTGAGTCCCTCATTGTCACACTCTCTCCCTTAACGGGGGATACTTGCAGCTGCAGCATGACCCATGCTAGGTACATCATTCATGAGCCTTGCTATGTTGTTGCTTTGTTAGGAGCCTAGGCCCTTGTTTGCAGTCAGGTCCTCCCCATTTACAATGATTTCAATGATGACTTGTCCATCCGTCCCTGAACCTGCGAAATGAGCCTTGAGCACTGAGCCTTGCAGTGGTCTTTGACAGTCAGTGCCCCACCACGGCTCCGGCCTTTGATCTGCTTTCCGCCCAAAACATTCGATTCCATTCACCACTGTCGGACGTATTGTCGCCGACATTGCAGACCTGACTGGCTCAAGCCTCGGCGCAACATATTTGTATTCTTGCTATCCTTACGGAGTACACCCTGCGGATACCATACACTGCAGGCTGGCTCAGTCGTCCGAGCCCCTCCACGGATCCTACCAAAAATTAATTTCAGGACATAACTCAGCAGAGCAGTGCGACGCGGGGGAAATTCGGGTGCCTGATCTGCAAGTAATCAACCCTTCCCGTCACTTGGCCTTCACTCAAGATGAAACGCTCACGAGAGGCCGAAGAGGAACACCCGTCCTCTGGCATTTCCGCAGACGAGCGTAGCCGCCCGGAGACGTCAACTCCAGATGACCGTGCTACCAAGATCACTGGACTAGAGCTTTCCGTCGAGGGAGCATCTGAGGATTTTGCCATGAAATGCTCCCTTCCGCCTCACAAGGAGGCCCTGACGTTCAAGACATACGACGACTATGAGGCGCACTACATAGCGACGCACACCAATAGGTGTCTGGAATGCGGGAGGAACCTACCGTCAAGCCATCTGCTTAACGTGCACCATGAGGAATGTCATGATTCCTTCGCCGCTGTGAAGCGGGAAAGAGGAGAGCACACCGTAATATGATTTCCCACTTCCTCTCATCATCGGCTCCTCTCTTGCTGACATCGGCTACAGTATTCCTGCTTCGTAGAGGGTTGTGAGAGAAAATGCTTGACGCCGCAGAAACGCCGGATGCACCTCATCGACAAACACGGGTTTCCCAAGAACTACTTTTTTGCCGTGACTAGGGAGGGTGTCGACGGGCGACGGACACTGCTCGTAGAAGCAGGTCATCACCGGCGGAAATCATCAAATGCTTTCAGTACGACCAAGGAATCGAAGCGCAGATCAAGTATACTGGACACGACCACTTCACAAGGCGGAGAAGAGTCACAAAAGACAGGAGATTCTGCAACCAAACCAGAGGCCAGTTCGGTGCCTGCGCAGCCAGCGATAACGGAACGTCCAGACACGGAAATGGAGGATCTCGCTGGCGCAATGTCGGCGCTGAAGTTTGTGCCCAACAGCGTGCGATTTGGCAGGGGCGGAGGACGAGCAGGCTTTGCAAAACGATGAGAGACGTCACGAATGATACCACTACTTCGATTAGCGTTCAGGCCATGATGATACCAAAACGGTCAATTGAAAGGATCACTACCTCTTTCCCGTAAACAACGACCCGAGTGATCGTAACCAGGGCCGGAACCAATCCTGCCATGTGAAGCGCCAAACGCCTGCCCTCCACGGGGTGCCCATTGTCGACCGGAAGCCGCGCTGACAGACGGGCTCGTGAAGGTAATCTTCCTGGAAAACACGTACACGACTAGAGATTCTGCTCTTCTAGTCACTGGATGCGCAGCCATGGCATCCGCAAGCGACGCACTGGACCTCTTGGTCCCCTTTGAGCTGGGCCTTCGGAACTCTACATATGCAGGTCGAGTTGAAGTTCGTCTCCTTGGTTTGGACACATCGCAAGCAGCAAAGCTATAGACACATGTCAGCAAGATGACTCGTCGTTCTTGATAAGCATGCCAACTCACCTTTTCGTAGCCCTGCTTCTTCCACTTGGCAATCAGCATTGCGTCCGCGTAGCCGTTCTTGAGCAGCCACTCGTACAGCTGCTTGCTGATGGCCTCCTTTTCGTAGTACAGGTCGTAAATGTAGCGGCTCCTCGCGTGCGCGATCTGAAAAATCTCCCACTGCGCTTGGTGCTTCGGTCCCGTCGGCGGCGGCTTGTTCTGCGCGTCCTTCATCTTGTTTTGGAAGATGAGGAGCTGGTCCTCGATGTCGTTGAAGCCTTCTGGAGGCGGCTTGCGCTTCGAAGATCGCATGGGAGGCATGTTGGGCTCTTGCTTTGCGTGAGTATGTTGTGGGTGTTTGAAATGGCCACTTGAGTTGCGATCCGAAGGGCTCTCGCAGTCTCGTCAAGGCTCACTTGGCTTCGCGTCGCGGTTGTAGACTAGCTAGATGACGAAGGAGTTGAAGTTCAAAAGCCCAGGCTAATACCTTAGGTAGTGGGGCAAAAAGCTCCGATATCTTATCAGGCATGCCACTAACGCCTTCGCACCTGCGCGCAGAGCGCTGGATCCGAGCTGACTAAGGAGCCACACGTGATTGGGCCGTCCGGAACCTTGGAGCTTCCCAAGATTCCCGTTCTACCCAGCCAGACAGCGTCGACGAGCAGGCCGTTCGGGAATCACGTAGCGCAGCAAGCAAAACCGCCCTCTTCACCAGCATCCCCACGCGCCCACTATGGCCATCACACCGACCCAATTCGCAAAGACGACCCGGCAGTGTGAGTTATAGAGACCAATTGACCCCGAAAATCCCACTGATCCGTCGAGCAGCGGCCAACTGGAACGACGCAAAGAGACGGGTTCTCGCTTCCTACAGAGAATGGATCCGAGCTGTATGTTGACCCCCCATGCGTCCCTGTTATGAAAGCTTCGGCGTAGGCTTTCGATTCGAGAAAGGCGCGCAACGATGCGAAGACGATTCGAGCGAGAAGGCCGACTTGAAGGGAAGCTGGAGGCATGAATCAATGCTAATTGAGGAACCATTGGGAAACAGGCGCCTGAGATTCAGACGATGTACAACGTCCCCCTGCCCGTGTCCGTCCTCCGTACCCGGATACGTGAGGAGTTTGAGCGCCACAGGTTCGCCAGCAAGCTCCCCGTGGTGGATGTTCTCCTGTTCAAGAGTCACGCCGAATACCAGGTATGCCATCCCGAGCGACGTTCCCCCGACGCACGCGCGCATCGAAGCACACCGAGGGAGAGAGAGGGATGGAGAGAGGAGGATTTTGGTGTCATGCGGGAGACCAATTGGACCCATGACCGTTACGATTGGGAAGATATAAGGCCGAGAGCTGACATGTGGTTCTAATCACGCAGGAGACGATGAACTTCTGGAAGCAGACGACGCACATCATGTCCTACTTCAAGGAGGAGAACTTTAGAGGAGACAAGCGGTTGCCCAACAGCTTCATGACTGGATTCTTGGAGGTGAGTCTTCCACAGGGTTGCGAGCAAGCTAGAGCGAGGAGAAAACACCAAGAGGCGAAACAAGGGGGTGAAGGGCATCCGCAGACACTTGATGCTGTTTCGAGATGGATCGCTAACCGTACTTTACACAGGGCCGCAACTAAGAGCGCTGGAAGTATTAGAGCTCGTGTACATAAATATACAATTTCAAAAAACATTTCCGCAAAAGTCACAAGAACCCAACCAATTGAGTTGGACCTATTTCATCTGTTTTGTCTACGCCGTTGGTTCTATTTTTGGTGTCTCCATTCCCATGTTAAAAAAACAAAAACAAAAAATAACGCCATTTTCCATCTTTTCTACAAGATGCGTTCGCTATGAACGACCAAACTCCTCCTTGGCGCGGATAAACTCCTCGGCGACGGTGTCGCTAAGGGCCTGAAGGTCCTTGAGACCCTTTTGCAGAGCCGCGACGGCGGTGCCGTCTGAGTTACACAGTCAGTAAATCAGGAGTGAAGAAGGGATCGAAGAAAAAAAAAAAAGGCTCACCATAGGTCTGGATCCTAATGTTCATCTTGGGTTCCGAAGGGTGAGGGATGGCGTAGGCGCAGAACTCAACGTCGGGACTGTAGTGAAGGAGGGGTGAGTTTCAGTATAACGCAGGCAAGCCAGGGAGGTCTCTCATGGCAGGAACTTGACGCTGTTTGAGAGAAGATAAAAAAAATAAACTTACTTCTTCATGATGACATATCTCAGCGCATTGCCGAGCGTGTGCCCCTCATCGATAAACTCGAATGAGGCGGCTGTGTCTGTTGAGCCGGGCAGCTACGGACAATCTCACAGTCAGCCTCTCGCCTGCAAATCACCGAAGCAGGCAGACTCACAATCTTGACGCGCTGGGGCTCCTCCTCCTCTTCCTCCTCCTGCTCAGTCGACTCCTGTCCCTCCTCCTCCTCCTCTTCCTCCTCGGGCTGGTGAGAGGCGGGCGCCTCGTCCATGGGGACGTCTTCCGAGTCGGTTCTGCCGGGCATTTTTGCGCTCTTTTTGGTTCCTCTTCAATGAGGCTAACTCTAAGAAGTGTTATGAGAGTTAGAGAGTCAGTGACACTCAAAGTGAAAATTGGCTGGGTGGTTCTTTTCGTCGCGGGGGGTGTAATTCAACTTTCAACAGATTCGGACTTGCACTGCGCGCCCGCAGGTCGGTCTCTCGAAATTTTTTGATAACGGACCCGCGGATCAATTTGATAAGCTGGCAGCTGGCGACCACCACATATCTCTGGCAACAGCTGTAAGAGATGGGACTCACCAATCCGGCGTCCCTGCCACATGCAAGCTTACATCGCATCGCATCGCATCGCAAAATGCCACGGTCAAGAGGCGTCACAACGAACAAAGAAATTTCGATGGGAATACCACCTCGCCTCGCGCCTCGCGCCCTCTCCAAGATCCCCAGGTTTACCTCCTCTGCACAAGGGCCATCTATAGACTATAGGGGAAGAGGGCAGAAAAGTTTATCGCTCGGCAGATACCTGAAAAGGGGGGGGTGAGATTCCACGAGACGCCCGTTCTCCTACCCATCATGTTCATCTTCAGTTATGTGAGAAGAGACCAATATTGCTACGATCCTGCATCTACCATACATGAGTTTTGATAACCTCGTCATAGTATGCAAGGCATTACCTGCTTACCTGGTTGTTTGCAGCCCGCAAACCAATAAAAACCCCCAGCTGTGATGGACCTCATCTTTCCGCGTGGGGAAAAATCGAGGACAGTACGGAGTAAAGAGAGCGCAACCATCACCACTACCACCACCACCTACTTACAGGCGCGCGGCAAGATGCAGTCACGCACGTAGTTCCGGTTGTTGGACGCACGAGCAAACCACCTACACCACCCTGCAGTTTGCAGCTTGCTAGTTCACGTCGAATGCTCTGACTGGTTCCGCAGAAGAATGATCCAAAGATCAATAGCGCGCTTCTCTTTTTTCTTTCTCTCGTTCCCCAGTTTGTTCTTTTCCGGAGGAGAGGATTCCATCACCCTGCATTTCTTGGTAACCAATCCTGGGTTGTTGGGCACCTCAAAACCAGGGTAAGCTTAAACTCGTGTACCGACACTTTGACTCATCTCGATGGTGAATGAAAGCAACCAAGAATGTCACCGTAATAAGCGAATGCTTCAGTATCCTCAGTGTAAGCAAGTAGTTGAAAGAATACTGCGTACTCAGGCCCAAATCTCGCAATAAAGTCCCATCGATTCGCACCCCGTGTTCGTAGAACACTATGGACCTCCAAAAGCAAAATGTCTCGGTCCGAATATCAAATTCAAAGATGCTCGAGCCTCAAGGGGCCCCGGCGGCGCCTCCCCGAACCCGACAGCCCAAGTTCCGGGTTGAAGTCTTTCCTTCTCGGTGAGACAAGAAAGAAAGAGAAACCCCACCCCTTCTTTCCCCCGTGGAACAAGGGCCCTCTTCACCGCATCGTGTCCACGGACCATCCAACTCCCGCGTGGTTGACGTCCCCGGGGGCGGCGGCGTAAGCGCGCGGAGGCGATAGGAGAGGCTGGGAGAGAGTTCGGATAAGACATCATACACGGCATGCATGGACATCATACGGCATCGCGAGAGCCTTGCTCTTCGTCCTCCCCTTTCCCCCCTTCCGCCTTCCGTGCCCACTTCCGTAAAAAAAAAAATCCCTATCAATGGAACAAAACAAAACAACCGGGGCAAGGAAATCAAAACCTGATCGCGATCCCAGAGAGCCAAAGCGTTACGATGCAAAGCCGACAAGGCCGTTCCGGTTTCCCACCCTTTCACTCCTCGCATTCCCCTCCCAGTCAGACGGCCTGCGTTCGGATTCTGTTCGTTGGCTGCCAAACCACACTCGACCAATTCGTGATCGTCCGGCGCTGTCACATCGGAAACGAGGTTTGATTGGCCGCCAACCGCACTTTATTGTTTCAAGACAGGGTCGGTGTAAGCCATATGATTGGCTCGTTTCCTCCATTCTCAAACCGACACCCAGTTGGTGAGTTTAGCTTGGTGCGTCGTTGAACCGGGGTTGGTCAGGTACATCTCGCACTAGGTCTGGGAAGTCACTTGTAATTGTGAAGGTGTGCTATGTAAGCAGCATTCAGTCCTCGCTCACCAGCTGCATGGATTGACGGATGGTTTGCAGATGACGAAGGTGAACAACGGCCGTCGTCTGTGAGTCCTACCCAGAGATGGGACGGAGACGTTCAAGGTGGAGGAGGCGTGTTCGGCGTATATGTGGAAAATGTATGTGCAGGCCGAGGGAAGAGACGTCTTAACTCGGCGAATCGTCTGTGCAGGCAAAGCGAATGCTACTCACAAGCCAAAAAAGAACAGCCGCGTTTTTTTTCTTCTGCTTGATGCCGCTGAGGAATTCCAGGATGAAGATGTCTGTACCACCGTTCACAGTACCAAGGAAACCTGCCTGCAAGTGGAAAGAAAAAAAGGTTGTCGTCCCGAAAAGGATGAAGAGAAATTTTTAGGGGATGTAACGTCGACGACGAACCTGGAACTGTGGTGGGGTTTGGGGGTTACATGGGGGGCGTGAACATGTCGTTCGGTGAGGGGTGCGAATGCGAATGGAGATCGGTGCTGACATACTGGATGAGAAACGACCATTCGTATCTATCCGTACTGAAGACTGATAGAACCAAAGAGGTATTAGCAGAGTATCCGTCGACGTCGTGGTTATACTACCTTCATCTATGATAATCATATCAATCCCATCTAGACGTTGTGAATCGGCATGGACGCATTAAGAAACGGGAAATTTGACAGTTGGCGACGTGCGCAGGAGGTGGCTCTGGCGTCGGTGACGACGACGGCATGTAGAATACTGCAACTCTCCGACTCGTATTCTTCTGCATTTCACTCATCAACTTCATGCCAATGGTACGTGCGTCTTGTGCCACAACTCAACTCAGCCTCTTCTCTGCCAACTGTGATACAAAGAGAAAGAGGCTGGTGACACATTGACACATGGGGTTGCGGCTTAACGGTCGTGGGATATGGCCAGGATCTCCAGGGACGTTTTCACATGGATCTTCCCCCTCCAACCCCCCTGCTCTTCCTGGCCTTGCCTGGCCATGACATTGCCGTGCGGAGAAGACAAGAGACAGAGTGAACCGGCACCAGCTAATCTCGCCAAACTCAGCCTTCAGGAGGCTCAGGTCAGGTCAATAGAACGAGGGGCGGGTTTCAGCAAAGGCCTGCCGCCCTACGAGTGGCTACCGATCGCCAGTGGTGGCTGTCAAGGCCGGAAATCCAGCGAGCGGAGACTCAAGACAAGATTGAGCGCAACAACGCTGCCCAGGTCAATACGAAAGCCAGCTGTTGTCAACGTCAACCCGAGCGACTGCATATGGTGCTTTCTACGCGGCAGCGAGGAGCAATCAGAGTCGAGGAAATAACTTTCTGGCTAGCGGAAACGCCGTCTCTAGTCCAGAGCTTGCTTGGTCGTGAGCCGCCGCGCGCGACACAGGAGCGAGAGACGACCCATACTGTTGGCTGACCAGACTTGAGACTCGGACGGCCGATTGGGCAATCTATCATGTGCAGATTCATCCATGTGGAGTCTCTGGGTCCGTCAGGTGTGATCAGGGGTGGCGGACGTGGAGGGGTGATACTGGCGGAGGAAAAGGTGGAGAGGTACTATATTTCACCGGTGAGAGTCTCGTTTGAAGTTTGGTTGAAATATTCCGAACCTATCGACGGAAATTTCAGGCTCTATAGTTGGGTTGGCAATGAATCGGTTTGATCGTTTGTAGTCTGGTCAGTGGCACTATGGGGCCGAAAGAGAAAAAAGTAATTCGAGAAACACACGACAAGGTCTTTTCGGTTGTCGAGTATCGGATGCCCCTCCATTCATGGATGCCTCTATGAAGTTTTTCGGTCCAGTTTTCCACGGTGAGCCAAGATAGCGGGCGATAGACATTCGCACAGGCTTCGGTTGGAAAATGTGCTTGTCGCGACGCAGATGCTATGTGCAGGTTAGCCTCTTTCTCGGGAGCCCCACCAAGGGATCGCAGGTAGCTGAGAAATTGTTCTCACCTTCCAATTGCCGTCGTCGCCCCCAGTGTTCGGGGTTTCTCACTTGGGGGCCGCAAGTGGCTTGAACATCTGCCGGATAGGAGAGAATCGTGAAGGGCCGACGCCCGGACGGGCCAGAGCTGCCTAGTGATCGCTCCGTCTGATGTGGCCCGCAAGGGGGCTGCAGCGCTGGCGTGCGGCAGTGACGAAGAATGAGCATTTAATAATACCACGAGGGCCATTAGGAGTTTGGAGATGGCCGGCAATGTGTGCGGGAAAGCACAGGCACAGGCACCAAGCGCAGGCGCAGGCGGTACCAGGATATCTAGACGCGATGGCGTAGGCACAGGCCACCCGGGCTGGCCGTCTGGCAGTGTCTTTCAGGGTCCGGTGACAGGTTGAAAGCTGCCGTCTCGAGATCATCGGCTTGCCCAAGGCGTGGTTGACGCCTCGGCGACAGCGGGTTAATACCAATATCGCGACTGATGGGCAACCCATGGAGCACCTCCGTCCTTTTGCGCCCCACGACAGACTTAGCACGTAGGAGGTAGACTTGGTCGAAAGCATGCCATCTAATACTGCGTGGTGCTCCACGGCAGTGAAAGCAATGGACGTTTCCATATATCGCTGTGATGCTGCGGTTGAAACAACCGAGTCCCGGCTTTGGATGATCCACTGGCAGGGCAGGCCCCGTCATGGCAGGTGCGGAAGTGGTTAGTGCCAGGGGCTTGATCTCGCAAGGTGAGCGAAAGTCAAAAGTTGTGAGAGAGCGCGGGCTGAATTCTTGGTGTTGCCAGGGCTGTTTGGGCACCACAGTCGTGTTGCACGTAGGTAGTTGAGCTGAAGGCGGAGACCTGAACTGCACTGCGTACGTATTGGTGGTACGTACGTCAACGAGGGTCTCAGAAATGGAGTCGTGATAGTTTGGGTCGTCTTTGGTTTATACGATACAGATAGTGTTGCGTGGTAGCGGCGT